CGCTAAGGTTTATCTATACTTTGGCATCCTGCAACTTTCCACTTTGGTTTTTGCTTTTAGAGTAGTTAAAAAAAAGTGCAGAAATCTTACATTTTTTTTTAAATAGTCATTGCTCTGTTCTAATAATAACTGTTCCACGCACACAAAGCTGTTGCTATGTCTGCAGGACGTTCTTGCACAGATGGATGATTCTTTTTCTTTCCAAAAAGTGACTTAAAAAAATAAACTATCAATAGGCACAGAAATTCAGTCCTGTGGGATTCAGCTTATTTTAGGCATAAATTGCAATGATACTTAGTTCAGCCTGGTTTGGGTTTTGGTTACAGTATGTTTTCGTGTGCTTCTAAAAAAAGACAAAAAATTCCCCAACTATTTATCATCCTTTTTTGGTTTTTCCTTCCCCGACCCCTTATTAAACCATGCTACGGTCAGTACCATTTCTGGTGTATACTACTGCATTTGTTATTTAAACTGTCAGTTATCATTTAATTTGTCAGTTGAATTTCAAGTCTGTTCATCAGGACATGTCAGAAACAACTTGAAAAGACTTGACAGTGAGCCAAGAGTCACTGTGAATTCTTAGAAAACTCTCTGGCTGCCTCCATGAGGAGCTGCAGGGGGAAATCTTTATCTTATGCAAGTATGAAACTGAATAAGACTTTTTCATCTTCTTACAAATATTTGCAAGTTTCTGATCACTTGATTTTTTTTCAGTTTTCCTCATTTTTTCTTGTTTGTATGAAGGTGGGTATTCTTTGGAGTGGGATAGCCTTCAGAACCAAGCCTGCTTCTAATCTATTTTTATATCAAGACTTTTTTTGGCTCCTTTGAAGCTCCTAGACTTAAAGTGGTCTAGGAAGGGGGAGTTCCCAGCTTTATGAGGATTCTCAGCCTTTCTAGACTAGTAAGAGCCAGCTTTATAAGTTCAGCCTTAAGGTACAAGGTAAGTCTTTGTACATCTTGAAGGCTTTTCCAACAAAAGCCTCCATAAATATTTACTACATTACATAAGGAGAGAGCAGATCTGAAGAGACATCTAGCATTGAAATAGCTAATGCTTTTGGCAAATACTTCAAGGAAGCGACTGAGTGCAGCACTGTGTGCTATGTAACACAGTAATAGGGTTTTTAGGCTTCACTAAACCAAAACCATTATGACTATATAAAGGTAATAATATAATGAGCAAAAGAATGAGAACACATATCAAAGCATGTGCAAATTAAGAGAAAGCTGGCAATGCAGACCTAGAGAAACCCAAATATTAAGAACACGTAACACCAGAAATATCCTGGCTTGCTGTGGTCTAGTTTCTAGTAATGCAGGCAGTCATACAATTTAGTCTTGCTCACAAACACAACACGTTCCCTCTTAACACCAAACAAGTTTATTGTACCAGCACTTAAGTTTCGCAGATTGCTGGTGCAATCAGTGCCTTATTTCATGAGTAATAGAGTTGAGCTCTCAAGAATTGCAAAGGGAGTTGGAAAGCATATAGCGCACTCTGAGCTGCACAGTGCTAAATCACATCCCGTATGCAGGGAGTCATAGAAATTGGGTTTAGCTTAACAAACTCATTGATCAGTGATTTGTGCACTGATGTAAGTAACTCTACTTTTGTCATAAACACAAATGTTTATGATTGAATCAGGCCAAAACGTATTGTTAATCTTAAAGGCTTTATCAGAGTTTTTGGAACATGGCTGCTACCCTAAAATGATTTGCATCTTAGGTTATCCAGAAAAGTTACTAGTGTTTTGCAGAGCTGACATCATATGAGCAAAAACGACACCAGCTTTATTTTTCCAATTTAAAAAATAAAAAATAAAGTAGCAGGCTGAAGTTGCTAGGCTACAAGTTGGCTTTTTCTCAGTGCTCAGGACAAGCCCTGGATTATGAAATAACTGCTACTTGTGGTGTTCCTGTGGGAGAGTGCCTCAGAGGTCATGCTGATGAATGTAGTGTTAGAAACAGTGAAAAAGTTGTATTCAGATCTGCACCCGGTTTTCTTTGTAGCTTAAGAACGGATAACAAGGATGTTTACCTTCCATCCCAAGTTCTTGGAGCTTGGAATCTCATCAGACTGCTTAATTATGACAGTGGGAGGTGTCTGTACTGCTACACTTCCAGAAAACAGACCGAAGTTCCACCGAGCTGCTTTTCTGTGGTTGCTGCCAATGCTCAACTGTTTTATCTGCTGCTTCATCTGCATGTATAAGCAAGCCATAGTTACAGCATTTGCAGTAGTTCTCCTTGTCTAAAGGCAATTCTGGATGCACGTGAGCTGGGCACAACGCCATGCTCCATCATGCTAACCTGTTTGTCTTCAGAGTTTCGCAAGTGCAGCACCAATTCTGCTGTCACAGAAGTCAGTGGGTATTGCGAGTGCTTAGGAACTGTCAGAAGGAGGCATTTCCTGAGCAAATTATCCTGTCTCTTTTTATAACTTGGTGGTTTTCAGTCTTCCTTTTTTTCACTTTATCTTTTTTTTTATTTCTTTCCAGGGAGGAAAGCAGCATTTAAGCAGTGTAAACGTTCACTTAAAGGCCTTAAATATTTATGAATTTGCCTGCCCTCTGTGTACACTCCACATTCTTACCCTTTTATTCACTGCTGTGTTAGTCAGTGTCTTCTGTGCATGTCAGGTTTAAACTGACAGTGTGTTCAGTTAAATGTTCAAACTCACATGAAACTCACTTGAAATGAATGAGTAATTCTGCTAATATCAGTTACTCCATATCTGGAGAGTTTACCTGTATGCGTAAAAAAATGGAATTAAAAGCCAGTGTATAAACTGGGGATAGTGACTGTCTTCCCAGATGTGTACATTACTTAGCACTTACAAATTTTTCCTAACGTAAGAATGAGTCATCACCCCCAAAGGCAAATATTCTTATAATTAAGCTCTCTTTTCTCATAAGTAGCTTTATGAAAGGCAGGCCTCCCAGCTTGTCTAAAGAGCCATTTATCAAAACTTACAGGGCTATACCACAGAGTAATCATAAAAAGAAGCAAGGGTCAGACAACCACAGACACCTATTAAAGGTGGAAAATTACAAGTATTTCCTGATATCGAAAGAAAAAACATTACAAATAATCCTTTGGTACAATATAAAATAAAATTCTACTCTGTTGTGCTATAAATTAATTAAAAACATGATGGCTATCTTGATCCAGATAAGAAATTAATTTCACCAGGACTGTGGATTTTTTCTTGTGTCATAAGAATGTCTTCATTTCTCGAATACAGCAATATATTCTCTTGTAACACCCTAGCCATGTTTTTTTTTTAATCTTTTCTAATATAGTAACAATAAATTATACTGCATAAGTTTGACACCTGGCACTCAACATGTGACAAACTTACAAGATTCAAATAACGCTTAATATTTTACATAATGAGCACAGTAATGACATGCATATAAAACAGTTCTGGTGAAAGTATCTTTGCAACTGCTGCAGCAGCCTACTTGGGTTAGAACACTGAGAACTGTACCAGAGTTTGCATTCCTTCTGCTCTTCTGCTGAGACATCTATGCATCCATAAACAAATAGCATACATATTTCTTCATTATCTTTGTTCTGTTACAGCAAAGAAAAGTCAAAACTGAAGAAAGACATGGGTGGGCAAGGGTGGTAAAGTCATTCACCTCATTTATTGACGCTGACTTAATTTTAAAACTTTGGTACATTGATACGTACCATCAATGTACCAGTTCACAAGGAACTGATGGGAAATGTTTGTGTTCAGGATTGAGCTGCGGCTGATTTCTAAAGCAGGATGAACTCATTCAAACTCATAGTTTGAATTCCAGCTTTCTAACATGATCCTGAAACCATGTTTTATCTTGGCTGCAGGAGCGGAATTTAAGGGCCTTACCTAAATGCACTTAAGACAAAAATGACTCAGGTCAATGGAAATAATCCTATTAACTTCTTTGCTCCTACTCATTCTTGTGCAATGTGTGGGCTACGAGGGCAAGCTGAATGATAGCAAACAACAGAAGGGGAACTTTGGAGGACACAAGAGTGTAATTTTACAATAAGGAAGTTTCTTAGGTTTAACTTGGTGATTTTATGTATTTAATGGATTGATTTGTGTGGTTTGACATACCTGGTAGAAGTTCAAATGTATTTTTCTAATAACATGTTTGCTTGGCTGTTCTTTCAGCATTTCGAAGTTTGAAGAACGATGCTGTTTCCTATATGTGCTGCACAACTCGGATGACTTTCAAATCTATTTCTGCACAGAACTTCATTGCAGAAGGTGTGTCACTTGTTATTTCAGAAAAAAACATGGCCTGTCATGGTGTAGTTGCATAAAAACATGCACAAAAGGGACTGACTGGTTCAGAACTGCAGTGAAAGTTACCTGAGCATCCTCAGAGATGACCATCTTTCATGTGAAAGCTGTAGCACCCTGGAGATTTGAGGTTTGGAGGGTCAAGGTGCAAGCTCAGACAAAAGTTAGAAACAAATATGATTACAAATTTAATTACTTTTTAACATACTTGTGGGATTATTTCTCTGGTAATTGTCATATTAATGTTTTGTACAAGTGTTCATTGCTCCCAGTCCAACAAAGCATCCTAAACTTAAAATGGACTTTCTGAAGTGGGAACATTTGGAATAACAAGGTCTGGTCAAGATTTCTCTTTTACTGTAACTAAAATTTTATTTATGATTATGAAGAATCATACACTTTATTTCCTTTATGTTAGCAACACATTCATGTAAGTAAGATTGTACCAGTACCTCTACAGGAAACTTGGCAAGCATTTGTTGCACAAAATCAGGTGTGTCTCAGTTTCTCTGTGCAGTGTTTCTGCTCCATAAGCTTGGGGGCTGTGGTCTTGAATTGATCCGGAAGGCATTTCCAGAGGAAATTTCTTGTCTTTTTGTGCTAAAAAAGGGAGTCAATTTTACCAAAAATCACTGCAGTACTCCATGTTAACAGCTGTGGCCACCTCCCAGCTGAATCTTGAGCTTATTTTCTCATTCATTCTAGTTCATATAGGTTCTGTTACGTTCATTCCCCTCCATATCTGAGCACTTCTTAGAAGACAAGTGAGCAATACCTTAGCATGACATATACTTACATTCTTTCAAAGGGGTAGAAGTCATATGTAACAGGTTTCGGGGTTTTTTATGGGAAGTTGTAAAATAGCCCCCTTTTCATTCAGACAAAAACTTGAAGCTAGCCTTCCTGCACTACGAAAACTTCTCCCAATGTAGGCAAGATTTCCAGGCCTTTGTCAAGATGATTCAGTCTTTTCATTGGACATAAAGAAATGGCAGTATAGGATGAGAATTTTGCTGGATACATAGATTTTGAAATAGAAATTCCATTAATAATTTCAGACATTAAACTTCCCAACAAACAAACTTTTACACTGAGTTTATACTTACTATACTTAAGTCCTCTTTTGGTTCATTCATTACTTGAGAGAGAAGCATTCTCTTTGTCCACATACTGTCTCACGTGTATATTTACCTTTTTTATTCCTTTCCTTTTCTTTTTCCCTTCTACAGGTTTTTTGACATGGTGAACAGTATCACTGAGGAAATAGGGAAGACTACAGAGGAAGGGGAATGTGATGGAGACTCTCTAGAGGTATATTCTCCCTCCCCTCCACACCCCAGTGTACTAAGAATTTGGGGCTTCTAGTGTAGGATTTCACTAAAGGGAGTAAATTACTATTCTCTGGAAGAAGTTAGACAAGTTATTGTTTACAAAATTTTATACTCTACTATTTATAAATTAATTATTCTTTTTAATGATCCTCATACAGTTTTTATAACAAGCATAGCTAAATCTCTTGTATTTCAGGTAGCATACTCACTTAAGAATCTACTCAGATGTGGAATTTTCCAATCATGCTTATTGCAGAATGACTCTTGTAACAGTTACTTCAGAGTGTAATCATAGGCAGCATTAGCATCTCTTTAGATTTTAAAGACTGTTTGTTGTCTGTTTCATGCATCACTGGAATCGTCTGCACTTACATTATTGGCAGATTGTCTGCACAACAAGTAGGGATATAATTGTGGTAAAGGAAGGCTTGTCCCTGCCAGTTGCCGTCTGTAGGCAAACATGGCAATGAACAGCGAACTCAAATCAGGTGATGATGTTGGTGCTGCTGGGAGCCTGTTTTATACTCTTAGTCCACTAGCTTGCCCTGAAGCTTAGGATGCCTTATTTCTGCTGGCACCCTTCTTAGCTAGGTTATAGCTTGCCTGGGTATGCTGTTACACTCTGTATTCTCACCTTGAGTTTCTATCTGAACATATGCATAATTGGAAAGTGAGTACAGGGCCATTGGGTGCAATGCTGTATTTAGGGTGTTTAGGCTTTCTTTCAGGCAGGGAACAGGATAGAATATCTAAGCCTATGACTTATCACATGAAAATCTGGTGTCCCAAAGCTCTAGAGGCATCTAGTCAATGCCACAGAAAGAATACAGTCAGCCCTCTGTCCCAGTTTTGGTGTAGGCATTTTATAACACATCTGAAATTGGAGATAGGACAAAGAGAAATCACTGTGGTGACTTGTGGGATAGAAAAATATCCTATAATGAGAACCTTCAGATGCCTAATTTGTTTATCTTAGCAAAAAGAAAAGCAGTAGGTGACTTGATTACAATGGGTAAGTATTTTTACAAGGAAATTATGAGGTGCTAATAGTCTTCTTACTCTGTTGAAGAAAAACGTAATTAAACAGTGACACCAAAGAAATCTGAATTCAGAAGCTGACTTCACCATAAGAGTAATTAATTGTTGAAACAAACTACTGAAAGAATTAGTGAATTCTCTCTAACAAAAGATAGCAGTCTTTAGTAAGAGGAAAAGAAAAACTATATAGGAATAGACTACTGGCTTTAGTATGGGAGGAGTGAACGTGTGAAGTTACATGTTTGTGTTACACAAGAGGCTAGGTCAGATAATCTATCTAATGACCATTCCTGGACTGGCCTTAAACTCTTTGAAATTCAAATTCAGCCGAAACCATGCTTAATACACTGCAATCCTGGCTAACCTCCCTTGGCACACTCTGCTGGCTGACCTGGCACTGGCAAAATTGAGGTTATGCTGGCTTTGGAAGATGTGGTCAGGTCAGGAGAGCATCTGGAACCAATTAAGTGTATCCTCTCTATGTCAGTTTGGTAGCTGAGGCTTTCAGTTTGGCGCAGAGTGCCCTCTGTCGTCTTGTTTTCCCAGCACCTGCCAGCAGAATTGCAGATGCTGTTGAGTAAGAAAGACATCCAAGGGTAGCTACATAGAACAAGTAAAGGCAGGGTTAGCTTTATGCACTTATCTGAAATAGCTACCTTAGAAGCCAGTGCTGTTTGTATAGTCAGTGGAGAAATACAGGCATGTCTGCATGGAATCAGAATTGTCTTCTTGAAGTGCTTTTCTTTCCTTCATGATCTGCAGAAAGCAACTAGTATCTTAAATGCCTTGGCTATAAGCACAGGGTCAAATGGAATAAATCTTATCCCCCTGTTTCATTTAATGTTGTTGTTTGCTTTGCAGTATGATTATGAATATGATGAAAATGGAGAGCGAGTCATTCTTGGCAAAGGAACTTACGGCATTGTATATGCAGGACGAGATTTGAGCAATCAAGTCAGAATTGCTATTAAAGAAATCCCAGAGAGAGACAGCAGGTATAGTAACTGTGCCTGGATCTAAATTTTGTGCATTACATAATTTCTTCAGTAATGTGATCAACCAGTTTGATCAAGGAGTACCACTTCCACAAAGCTGTCAATAAATTACGCGTCTGTAGTATATAATGGTGTTCTCTGTCTTTGTAACTAGATATTTCCAGGTTGCATTATAGATTATGATCACAGCTGAGAATTTAGAGTACTTTTTCTTTCCAAAAGAAATATTGCTGAAGTGCAGAATCTTACTCAAACACCTAGTGATAAGCTCTATCTACTTCGACATGCTCAGGCATGTCCATAGAAAAGAACTATTGAAATTCATGATTTGCAGCATCCTTTAAAATTCTGAGTCTGAATTGTTGTGAAAAACATTTTCCTTTTTCCTGTTTGTGCATCATTAATTATGAAGCCTTTTAACATTAGAGGAAATAATGTAGAATGATCTTCTTGTCCATTTTATTTAATGCAGTCTCTCTATATATATATATTTGTGGCCCTCTCTTATTTGTAAAAGTTGCCAAGTAAAGACCAGATACTTCATGTCCTTAGTACTTGTATATCTGTAGGCATCTAGTATTTTGAATATGTAGATTTCCACAAATATTATTATAAAAGTGATAGCAACTCTAAAGATAAGATTTTTCAAATGAAACTGACAAACTGTCAAGTCGTTCTTGTACTCTACGTTAGCTTTTGATTTTTGCAGTCAAGTGTTGTTCCAGCTGCTTCTTAACAGGTGAGTGGAGTGCCTGGATCTTTGAAGTGCCTCTCAGACTGTAAAATATTGTCAAAGACTGTAACTCAGGCTTATGTTCAGGAAAGCTATGAAAAGTAGGCAATAAAGTCGTTGCCATGGTTGGTAAAAGAAAGGTAAATCTCTCCCTTCCCAATGGTTAAAGAAATAATTTTTATAAAGGAAGGTTTTCTGATAAAGACAGAGTCCTGCTGCTTAGTAGCAGGAGGAATGAAATACTAAATGAACATAAGCAGTATATCGAGTGTACTAACTGGTCAATATTTGTCCGTCATTTCAGTTGGGGATGGAATCCGTATTTCCAAGTTTTTTGTCATCTTCTGCCCATTTGGTTTTTTTGGTTTACTACTACGATCTAATGGATAGCTTGTCCTTCAGCAAGATTTCCCATATTTTGGCAGGCTGCATTTCCTCTTCAGGAGGAGATAACTGTATCCTTGTTTGTGCAGTGTTCAATCTACAACTAATATCAGGAACGAAGCTAGTTTTACCCATCCCTACAGAGCAGTCACCTTGAAGAGAGAGCTAGTATTCAAAACAGTAAATAAAGAGGCTATTGTAACCCACCACAGTGGCTGCTGTTCCTCTCACTTTTATCTAGAGTGTAAGTCCCTGTGGGTAAAACCACCATTTATGGAAAAGGAGCATTATTCTGTGTAACCTACCAAGCACCAAGAACTGTTACTTAAATTGTACTGGAGCCTAGATGCTAACAGGACACTGCGATAACTCCTACAGTTTTCTTTGTGTAATTTATAGACTAGGTCAGTAATGCCACCTGGTGTCCTGGCTTAGTTTCTTTTTCCTGGGTCTTTTTCATGGACCTTCCTTTGGTTATTCTGTCCTCACTTGCTGTTATCTTCACTGACAATTAAAAAATGAATCCTTCAAAGTCTTTTTGAATCCATGCATATATTGGCTGTTCGATATGGATATGTGTGTGGTCTAACAATTTTTTCCATACTTACATTATGGAAAAGGAAATCCTTCCATCCTCTATATTATTATATATTTAACTTCAAGATGTGTTACAATTTCTCAGAAATTATGGCATCATTACATGTAACATTGACTCTAAATATAGTTGCAAGTTTTGTATGTATTAATAAGAAATTAATTGTTTGTAACAACTGTGTTTAATAGAATAGCCAGAGTAGAGTGGTAATTACTTTAAAGGAAGAAAAAACTGAAATCATCCAGATTTTTCTTCTCCAATACACATTTTAAAAGAATTTCCAGTGGAAAAGTTTCAGGTTCAATGTGCAAAGCATACTGGAAAAGAGATTATTAAGAGCTGTTAGTCTTTTCTTTAGACTTCAAAAATATCTACAGGCTTCCAGGACATATTTCAAGTAGTAGTCTTTTAATGGCAGAGTAATAAAATATTATTAAAATTATTAATTAACTTATGATTAATTATAACCAGCTCCTGTAGTACCTTGAAAGAAATCTATAGAAAGAAAATGATTCATCTCTGAAGCTAATTCTTACCATTTTCAAAGTAAAAATCCATCTTTTGGATTCATAAGAAATAATTAAGTTCTGACTCAGAGCATGCAATGGCCAGAAATGCAATGATTTCTGTCCAAAAAGCAAGTCTTTGATACAGTATGTTAAATATAACCTGCTGAATAATATACATAATTGTCAGGAAATAAGAATTAAGGAGTTAAGAATGTGTATGGAGACACATTCTGAAAGAAAAGGAAACATTCATGCAATGCTGTTGCCCTCAAGTGCCTTTTCACAGCTACAAAACAGTACCAGTGGCCATATCATGTTTCCAAGTTAAAGTAAAAGTCATATTAGATGACAATAAGATCTAGCTTTCTAGGATTAAGAATTTGTCTTCCTTCATACCATTTAAAGTTGCCTAATGGCTAAATTCTAAAGTAATGTTTCATCCCACTGGAGAATTTTCTTAGAGCTTTATTTTATTGCTAAATTATTTTAGTTGCTCAAGACTCAATTAACTGTGCAGTTTGAAAGTGCAGAGAGAATTATAATGGTCTTGCTGTTGCTGCTCTGAATGAATATCCCATTAACAGAACTCAGGAATATAATCTCTGATTTTGCATTTCTGGATGACTAACAGTGTAGTTAGAATCTTTATAGTCATGTGTGGAGAGGCAAGCCAAAACTCAAATTACTTTTGGGTAAATAGGCTTAGTTGAGTTGCATAATCACACTTCTCATTAACCAAATACTTTCCTTGATTCCTGCAGCAGTTGTTTTCCAGGGAGATTTTCAGATGCCCACTTTTCTTCTTTTTTTCTCCCTCCGCTTTAAGAGCTCAGCCTCCACTTGCAGCTTGATCCTGTTGTTGGGGTGAGCTGATAGCTGCCTGGCCCTAGCAACTGAAATTGCACTTGTGCTTTGATTGCATTCCTCGCAGTGGCACTTGACTGGGTCCAGGGAGAGCTAACTCCTGGACTTGAAGCAGCAGGAAGTGACCCCTTCTCTCATAAGTAAATAAAATCGAAGTTTTCTACCAGTTCATTAGGGGATTAGAATGTACCAGTGTTGACGTGGAAGTGTTATGCTGAGAACAACCTGGTGAAGGTGGTAGTTAAACTACTTCTTTCGGTGGCAAGTAGCTGCAAAGTCGAGTTTGCTGATATGTTTAGCATTCCCTCAGTATAAGCATCTGACTGTCTTCTACTTGCTCAAGATTCTGCAGCTCCGTCTCACATCTTTGCTGACAGAAGGAGGTGTGTGTCCCTCATCTATTTCAGCTACTCTGAAAGTCTGCCTGCAGATGTTAGTGCTTTAGTGAAAGCAGCCACCAGTTTCTCAGCATATTGTCTATATATTGCCAGAGTATACATAGGATCTGGCAGCTGATCTGCTTCCAGCTCACCCAGGGTTGGAAGAAGAGCGTTAGGGCTGGCCCAGGGAGCACACTGGATGCTGAGCTCTGGTGGTGTTCCACATTGGAGAAGGTTCCAAACTCCAGAAACGTTTTTTGCTAAAAGACTGCTGAAAAGCTTACATGTCTGAAAAATATTTCTCTTGGACTAAATTACATTCCTTGAAATTGTTTCGATCAGTTCTTCTGAATATCTCACCATGAAATTATTCCTGTTTTCTTACCCTGGTAGCTATCCACTCTTGATTTTAGATAAGACTTTTACTTTAATTAATTAAAAATTAAATGGTGATATGTTTTCATTATTGAGGCAATTTTAGTTATATGCTAACTTTATGGTTTACTAGTTCATTTGGGCATTAGTCTGAATCCAACTGCTTGCACAACAACAGTTGTTCTCTTCAGGTTAGGCTGGAGAACAGTTAATTTTCCACAAAGTTTGTTCTGCTCAGTCTGTTTGTGTATATTTATGTTTTGTGTGTGTATGAGTACACAATATTATATTTACTTTATGTAAGTTATGTCTATTTATATATGATGACATGTTTTTATAGGATGTGGTGGTCACAATCACCAGAGTGATTTTCAGCATAAACGTGTTTCATGCGACCTAAAATAGAACTTCAGCTGCTACAGTAAACACAAGGCTTTCTTCCTGAAGTTCAATACTGAATAAGCTGCTTTTTTCTTTCCAGGTACTCCCAACCTCTGCATGAAGAAATAGCTTTGCATAAGCATCTCAAACATAAGAACATTGTCCAGTATTTAGGTTCTGTTAGTGAGAATGGGTTCATTAAGATATTCATGGAACAGGTGCCAGGTGGTAAGTTGTGGGGGAGACTAATTTGGTGGTTGGTTGGTTGGTTTGTTTGGTTTTTAACATTTTAAAAGTATGAAAAACAGAAGTACTGCAACAAGATATATTTTATGTAAATAAAATATAAAATGTTCTTTAATGTCTCTTTCATAAATTAGTGGGAAAAACAGTGTCTTCAAAGTGCTCAAGTCTCTCATTCAGTATTTAGATAGGCTGTGCTACAGATACAGCTCAGATCATTGCTATGGCAGGTGAGCTCCTTTTACTTACAGATCTGTGGTGGGTTGACCCTAGCTGGACAGCAGGTGTACACCAAAGCTGCTCTATCACTCACCTCCTCAAGTGGACAGGGGAAAGAAAATACAACAAAAGGCTTATGGGTTGAGATAAGGACAGGGGAAGATCACTCACTAGTACCAGTTACTGTCACAGGCAAAACATGCCCAACATGAGGAAGAGCTACCCCTGTAGCCACCTCTTACCAAAACCTTGCCACACAAACCGAATAAGATCAGAGATGGTCTGCAGTCATTCTACTAGAAAGACAGTAGCTAGTCTCACATGTCTGAGCCCTCCTCAGGTACCTAGCACAAGAGAAAGGTGATGGTGATGGTTGCTTCTGTTTGAGACCAAAGAACTCACAGCAGTCAAACGCAAAAAAAAATTCCACGTCTTGAGTTTAGCTTTTCAAGAAACTGTGGAGTTGGTGTATGTACAAAGACATGCACATGCACTCTTTTTTACAACATTCCTCTGTGACAGCTTGTTTCCCGAAATTGAACAGAGGTGAGCACATTGATTAAATGGGTTCTGATCTGCCTGCTTTAGGAAGCATATGTTTCTCTGCTGCAGCTGAGGCCAGTGGAGATACTGAGACTCTCTTTTTAATTACTGATGCTGGTGATATAAGTAAGCATTCACCTGGAGAGGTCTTTGGTTATGGAAGAGGTGCCTACACTTGGTTTGGGATTGATGCTTGTTGTTACTTTTTTTTTTCCTTTGGGGGAGAAAGCAGAATTTAATTAGATTTTTACTCTCATTTTTTTTCTTTCCAAAATTATAGGCAGCCTTTCTGCTCTTCTACGATCAAAATGGGGACCATTAAAAAACAATGAGCAGACAATTGGCTTTTACACTAAGCAGATTCTTGAAGGATTAAAATACCTCCATGATAATCAAATAGTGCATCGAGACATAAAGGTAAGAATTTGCAGAGAATTAAGCCTGACAGTGTTATGTTACTGCATAACCATTTATTTGTCCTGTAATTTAAAAACTTTCAGAAAAAAAGTTCTTGTTATCACATACTCTCTCTGCTGTTCTGAACTGTGCATTAGGTAATTGAGCCAGTGTTGATTTGAATTTGCACCAACAAAACATGTTGGTTATGGGGGTTTTTATTTTAGGAGAATTGACATACAGACATTTAAGATGTGATAAAAAGGATGTTTTTATTTCTGTTTTCAGTGACATAGAATCATAGAATGGTTTGGGTTGGAAAGGACGTTAAGATCATCTAATTCCAAACCCCCTGCCATGGGCAAGGGTACCTCACACTAAATCATGTCACCCAAGGGTCCGTCCAACCTGGCCTTTAACACTGCCAGGGATGGAGCATTTACCACTTCCTTGGGCAACCTGTTCCCGTGTCTCACCACCCTCACTGTAAAGAACTTCATAGAATCATAGAATCACAGAATAGTTAGGGTTGGAAAGGACCTTAAGCTCATCTAGTTCCAACCCCTCTGCCATAAGCAGGGACACCACACACTAAACCATGTCACCCAAGGCTCTGTCCAACCTGGCCTTGAACACCGCCAGGGTTGGAGCATTCACAACTTCCTTGGGCAACTCATTCCAACAACTTCCTCCTTATATGTAACCTGAACTTCCCCAGTTTTAGTATAAACCCATTACCACTTGTCCTATTGCTACAGTCCCTGGTGAAAAGTCCCCTACTAGCATCCTCATCAGGCTGATCAAACTTTCATAAAAGCTTATTAGAAGTGAAGAATATTGTGTATGGGATATTAGCAGGTTCTTTTCTAAGGAGATTGCAGACGAAAAAGTTCCCTGAAAAAAAAAAAAAGACTTTTACCTTTTTTCCTTCTTTTAGTATTCTTTAACTGAATTCTTGTAGTAGGAGTTCACTTTGAGGATGAAGTTTCTGATAATGGAATTATGTAAGATAGGAACACTATAGATTCCTCTTTCATGTCCCCTCTTGAGAGCCTTAGGAGGTAATTGTTACTTACCAAAGAGTGCATTGTAGAAACAGGCTGTGCAAGAAGTCTTAAATGAAGAGTGAGCAGAGAAAAATAATTACTCTGAATGTTCTGTTCCTCAGGGTGATAACGTGCTTATCAACACCTACAGTGGAGTATTAAAGATTTCGGACTTTGGAACTTCAAAGAGACTTGCGGGAATCAATCCATGTACTGAAACTTTCACTGGTATGTTCCCAGATGAGACCCTTTCCTCACTTGATCTGTGTATGGAGGGTCAAAATTCACAGCTGCTGAACTTCCATTGGCTTCAAATCAATATAAAAGGTTGCTGCAAGGATAACTTTTTGTAAACCTAATCTTAAGCTGTATGCTGTGCTTGCATGCACTGTTCAAAGAGAATGCTGTTTTGGAATTTCAAGTTGAGACATGAAAGCCCTCTGCAACAGAAGAGCTCTGTCTTTCCTGTGCTCTATTTGAGTATGTTTCTTCTGTATGCATGGTTTCTTTATTTTGTTGATAAGGTTAACTTTTTTTTTCCTTTGATGACTGGCTTGGACATCTGGCTTCACCTCCAGAACTGCTTATCTACAGAGCCTGTGATTAACTTGAACTGTGGAATCATAGAATGATTTGGTTTGAAACTCACCTTAAAGATCATCAAGTTGTAGCCTCCCTGCCAGGGGGGTTTAGTCTTCCACTAGACCAGGTTGCTCAAAGCCCCATCCAACCTGGCCTTGATCCTCATTCTGCTTGATGATTTGATTGGATGTTAGATCATGTAGTGGCACTACATTAAATAATTATACAAAACAAGAAGTGACTGTTTTTTAGTTCCATCCTCTCCTATTTCTGCTCTAAATGGAGCAGAATACAGAATGATGCGTCAGGCTGATTCCCTTACTTCAGAAAAAATACTCATATCACCTGATATTTTAGGTTCAGATTTCAGGTTTCACTTCCTTTTCCTCTCTGAATACAATTCAGAGTTATCTTCATTATTTTAATCTTAATCTATAATACACTAAATGAAAATTAGGTCTGATCCAAAGCTCATCAAAGCCTCTTAATTTTCATGGACTTTGAAAAGCAGTATCATCAGGTTGCTGGACGATTTCAGATGCTTTTAGCACAAGTAATATTTTGAATGATATTTTGAGTTTTATGTAGACTGCATATGAAAAGTTGTGAATGTTGAATAACAGAGTATTTTTAACTCTTTTGATACTGCTTACTCCTCAGTGACTTTGTTCCTCTTGTCCTTTAGCTGTCTGTTTGAAGCATTAGTCCACCTAAGTAAAAAACAAAGAGTATGTTTTAAACAGGTACGCTTCAGTATATGGCACCAGAGATTATAGACAAAGGGCCACGTGGCTATGGGAAGGCTGCAGACATCTGGTCATTGGGTTGCACAATCATTGAGATGGCCACAGGGAAGCCCCCATTTTATGAACTGGGAGAACCACAAGCAGCTATGTTTAAGGTCAGTTGCCTTCCTTGTACAACTCACACCAGTATTTGTAAACACAGGAAATCTTGTGACTGTTTTGGAGAAGCTAGAATTAGAGATTGCAGGAAAAGAAGATGAAGGAAATGCTTGATTAGGGAGGATGTTGAGAAGAATGAGCTGATTCACTGAGTGGGAGTGCTGGGTAATTTTAAAGAGAGTAATGAAGCAATAGCAGCTATTCAGCAGCCTGGGTGTTTAAAAAAAGAAAACCTGAGGAAAGCTGAAGTTTTCTGCTTTGCAAGAGCCTCTACTTGCAATTCTGGGATTTTAAATGTAATTATTTATACAGTTCGCATTAGGCTTTTTCCTATTAATGAATATATTAGTTACAGAAAGATTATATAATAACTTGAGAACAGTATACCACTTTTACTATGTAAACACTTTTTTTTTGATGCTGTGTAGTATTTGGGAAAAGAGCAATGTAGGCCATTGTTTCTCCCTTGATTTCTCTCAGGTGGGAATGTTTAAAATACACCCAGAGATTCCTGAATCCATGTCTGCAGAAGCCAAGGCTTTCATATTGCGTTGCTTTGAACCAGATCCTGATAAACGAGCTTTTGCTCATGAGCTACTTATAGATGAATTCTTGAAGGTTTCAAGTAAAAAAAGAAAGTCCACATCAAAGCTCTCAGGTAACTGTTGCTAAGCTCAGTCTGGATTTTTTCTCTTGTTAATGATACTGCTGATACAGTGTTTAAGATGAACAGAACGCAACTCCATCCTAGGTGAAAGTTCAGTTGTAACCTTTTGTTCCAGCAGCTTGCTGCAGAAACACTGTTGTAGCAGAATTCTGTCATATTGTTGTCGCAGATGTGATTGATAGAAATATTTCTAATAATGTTTCTAAAAGTCTCTTTATGGTTCTGTAGAGCTTTTGTGGGTTTTGGGGTTTTTTGTTTCTTTGGTTTAACATATGTTATAATTCAAAGAATGTTTGCATAGAGTACATTTTGCATTATGTTAGAACTTGCTATTGAGCCTCAGGGGAGTTTTCTACATGAGCAAAATAATCTTTGTCCCACAGCGAATGTGCATGTGCTGCATTACTTTTGTTTCACATAGTCATTTCCTCTAGCGTTTTAAATTACGGAAAATAACAAAGGAGTTTTGAGAGTATAAGTGACATTCTACATGTGTGCACATATAATATGGAAATATTTCCTGTATATTTTTAGCATGATACCTAAAAGAAATAAAAATACCATGTAAAGGGGATGGCATTGGATGATCACTGTTAATGTGGTTTTCACACCCCACACCCTGATTAAAATTAACTTTAAACTGCAATAAATTACACATCTAGAGCATGCAGATAGGAGAGTCCAGATAGCCCATAAAAATGGGAAGAGAGTTACCCTTTAGACTCTGCTTATTTTCTCAATTAATTTCAGCACATTTAATTTGTTTTTTTCTTTGCTTTTCTCCCACAGTTCTTTCAGCTAACACAAATGGTGAGTTTTAACATACTGCTCTATTACAACATAACTGTGTAGATATGTGGTTATCACTTGTTTTGGTATAATTTGTCACACTAAAATGTTGTAAAGACAAGTGGGCACAATTATGAAAATAAGTAACCTTTCTCTATTAGGAACCTCTGATTTATTGTGCAAATTTAAACTACTATTTGTAATCCTACCAGACTATGGCTTAATTGTCTAGGCAGGCTTGAAGAACTGTGTTGTTACAGGGCCATTTAGTGGAAATCTAAACAGGAAATGAAATGGTTGTTTTATAGTAGCAATAGAGCCAAGGTTTGTGGAGAAAGATAACACAGATTTTTATTAAGCTAAATTCTGGAATTGAAAAAAGTGGCATTTGAGACCTCTTGTCAGGCCTGGGTGCAAGGATATTAATCTCTTTCAAGAAATGAACTGGGGGTGGGTGGGAGGAACTGAACAAACACATAGCTGAGTCAAAAAGTACATTTTGAAATATACACATGTGAAATAGGTATGAATAGTTTCTTGCAGAAGTAATGTGTGCTCTGGATTTAAAAATCAAAGTTCTGACTTAACTGATGATAAAAGATGCATGTTCATGACAGTGGTGAAATTTCATAAGTGAACTTGCGAAGAGCTCAGCATTTCCATATCTTAGGAAACTTTTAAATAAAAACATATTAACTGAAGGATAACTCTATTCCAGAAAAATAAGCTTTAGGAGTTTTTTGGTCAATTTTCTTTTAATATTTTATAGTGGTGTCAGGGAAGGCTGAGGTCTTCCTGTTTCCTCTGAAATAATAAGCTTTTCACTTCAGAACTGCAATGGCACTGTTCTAATTTCTGAATATTCCTTTATGAATAGAGTATCTTCGGAGTATATCCTTACCAGTCCCTGTTCTGGTGGAAGATACAAGTAGCAGCAGTGAATATGGTTCTGTCTCACCTGATACAGAATTAAAAATTGATCCATTCTCTTTCAAAACAAGAGCCAAATCCTGTGGAGAAAAAGATGGGAAGGGAATCCGGTCCCTTTTTTTGAGGTAAGGAGATTTCTGGCATTTATATTATATGGTAGGTTAGAAATGTGTGCCTTGGGTGGTTTTTATAAAGTTTCTTTTCACTGAGTCTCTTTCATTCAGCATCCCAGATGAAAATTTTGAGGATCACAGTGCACCTCCTTCACCTGAAGAAAAAGATTCTGGGTTTTTCATGCTGAAGAAGGATAGTGAAAGGAGAGCCACCCTTCACAGGATATTAACTGAGGACCAAGAGGAGGTAGTGAGGAACTTGATGGAAGCTTTGGCTCAGGTAAAATAATTTCAGAAGGCAGCAAAAATTTTACAGAATTTTAAGACTTATCTGCAATTACCTGGGACTTTGGAAATTACACCATGTAAGTTTTCATAGTTTATTGGGGTTTTTGGGCTATTAGAAGTGGCTTTAAGATCGTTTATGCTGCATTACGTATGCTTTTTGTGTTGTTTGTAAATACTATGTGTATACCTGGGTATTAGTGCTGGCCAGACAAAAGAAAACCATGTTTTCATAATAGTATATTTTGCCAGTGATTTTTCAAATGGGACCAAGGCTGTCAGGTCAACTCATGTGAAATAGATGATGATCATCCACAAGAAGTGATTACCTTGCCCTTTTTAGAGTTCCATCTTCTGGCTGACTGGTTTAACGGAGGGAGGTTTAGGTCTTTTGGCCTGCTTTGGCCTTATGTTAGGTTATTGTGTAGAAATTGTGGCTGACTGTTCACCACTGCCTTCTAGCCAACAGCTACAAAAGGGCAAAGAGAAGGGTTAGGGGGAAAATAAATTGCAGCTATTCCTCACAGCAGTTGGGAGCACATACGGAGAGGAGGGAAGACGGACTAACAGTGGGAGCTACAGCAAACAACAAAAACATTGCAGAATGACCTTTTGGCACTCCTTTGTGGGGACAATTTGTAGTGATATATCAGTTCAGGATGGCACTGGGTAAATTACAGGTCACAAGCACACTGCTAAATGTTGCAAGACTGTAATTGGATGACATGATTTTTTGCTTTTGTTCGTAATGTGTGTGTTAGCAGTTAATTGACTCACTTCATCTCAAGGCTAGTATTGCTGGTCTAAAACATATTTGTATAAAACATGGCAACTCATCTTCTAAAGATAGTACTGTTTAGAAACTGATGCAAACCAATATAATTATTACACATGTACTACAGTTAATGTAATTGGAAATTGCTGCCATACCAATAAAAAAGAACTTCTAACTCTTGGTGGGGGGAGGAAGGAACCCATAGTTGTTGTGGTAACTATAGAAAGCATTGAAATAGAAGGCAGTAAGAGATGCCCATGATCTGTGCTTTGCTAGAGCGTTGGTATAACAGACACAGTTGTTAGCATGTGTATGAAAGGAATAACCAGTGATTGTGAGAGGCTGAAACTCAATCATAAAACCTGGAGAGGGTGCTTGGTGGTTCATACCTTCCTCAGCCGGGGCTTGAACAGCCCAAGAGGGGAGCAGAAAGGCACGGAGTTGTAGAGCTGAACAGTTCAAAGCACAAATGCGTGGGACTATCTGTCCCTTACGAGGATGCAGAACTCTGACTCCCAAACACCGCTTTCTCCCTTGAAAAGAGGTACCCTGTTCAAAGAGTAGGAAACCTGCTCAAACCACCAGAAAGTGATAGTAACTGCAGCTAAAAGGAAGTTGATTGGCTTTTTATGTCCTGCTTAAATGCAAGAAGTTACTAATAGGTGGAAGCCTGAGTTTCTTGGGTTTTGTGTTTTTTACATGAGCTACCCAAGTTGCAAAAGCTTGAAAGATTCATCAGAATAAGCAGTAGAAGTAACTGTTCCAGGGATCGAAAGATTCCAGGTGGAGAAGGAATGTAAGCCACACATATACACCCCAAACTACTAGAAAGTGTATTACAAACTCTAAAACAGATGTAAACCCCAGAGATATCCCAAGCCAGAAAGACAGAGACCTAAAGGCTACCAAAGAACAGACTAAGCACAGATTCTTGCCAACCTACACATTTGTTCAATGACCAGGAGGCCAGCTCCGAAGTGCATTGAGAGCAAACGGGGTGGCAGGCACATACTTTGCGAGCATCCCCACAGAAGTAAGGTTGGCCATAAAAGGTCCAGGTCCCGGTCCATCTCCCTCTTTTCCTCTCCTCTCCCCCTCCTTTCTTCTCCAGATCTTTCTCGAACCCCGGGCCTTTTATATCCCGCAAAGTGCCAAGTCATCCCTACGCAGGGGGTCAGCCTGCATCCAGACGAGTGGCCCTGCTGGCTTCTTTTTCCTGTGCACATTCGTCCTGGCGCAGGGGGTCCACCTGCGCCAGGAGGAGTAACCCTGCCGGCTCCCTGCCGTGCACGCTCACTCCAGGTGATTGGGGATGGTCCGCCATGGACCAATTTTTACAGTGTTAGACCCATCCAACACAGGAACTAGGAAGCAAAGGACAGTATTTACTCTCTAAAGTTATGCCAGCTGAATAAAAATTTCAATTCCAAATATTAAGTCAGAGATAGAAAACCATATTAGTTTTTAAACATGAAGTATTAGATGCTTATTCTGAAGGAAGTAATTATATATAGAGACTAAAGATATCTAATATTGATTTTTCACAACAGAAGGACATATGGTGTTTGGTTCTGTTGCATTTGCCAGGTTTATGCTAGAATGTTACAGCTGGCCATTCATCAAGAACTATGCCAATAACATTAGGGTTTTAACTATAGTTAATTAATGCTGATCAGATGAAAAAAAGATTTGATTACTTGAGAAACTAAAAATAAGAAAAAATAGGAAAAAGCTCTAGAGCAGTCAAATATTCTACTGACTAAAGCACCCATCTCTGAGGTAAAAGATCCTAGCCTCTGATCTTGATCCACTTTGATTTGGAGAATTCTCCTGATGACTGGCTATATTGAAGTGGATCCCTCACCCTGTCCTATGGTAGCTGATCTCATTTTCATATAAATAATTAAAAAGCTATTAGGGCAGATAGGTAGGCACACGACATGTTGTAGCCCTGGACTAGAAGATCTTAAGGCGTGCTGGGGACAGGGCAACCAGTATGGCTCCTTAACAAGAAAGAGTGATCTGTTTTGGGAGGGTCATTCTCCTCCCCTAGCCTCCACACCCAGTGACTGTTGAAATTGTTCTTATGAAAAGTTTTTTGTGAAGGAGAAAGTGCTATCAAAGCCTAAATCCTGATGAGGCCTGTGTATATGTTTCAAAAGATGGCTATGAAAACTATTTCTTTCCCTCTTTTTTCTACCAGGGAGCCGAAGAACCCAAACTAAAATGGGAACATATCACAACACTCGTTTCCAGCCTCAGAGAGTTTGTACGGTCCACTGATCGTAAAATCATCGCAACCACTCTTTCAAAACTGAAACTGGAGCTAGACTTCGACAGTCATGGTATCAGTCAAGTGCAGCTTGTGCTCTTTGGTTTTCAAGATGCTGTAAGTTGTCATTTTTACAAAGAAGTTTGTGCACCAAAACTGCCAGGGGATGGGGAAGCTAGAAGCAAACAGAACTTCATCAACTTCCATCCAGAGTTATTGAAACAATAATTGTTGAGGGCTTTGAACTTGTAATAACAAAAACCCAGCCCACAAGCATGAGTTGGTTTGGTTGCCACGTGGTCCTTTGGCAGGACACAGACCCTGAACGCAACTGTTGAGATTTTTCTGATCAAAGATCTAGAAGATTCAGCATGGTTGTGTGAACATTATGTCATAATACTAAAGCAGGAAAGCCTTTAAAAAAAAAACCCAAAACCTCATTTTGGAGGAGTTTATGATAAATAAGACCAACACTGAATGCTGAGTTTATCCTTCATAAATACAGATCTCTTGAATTTGAGTTCTCCTACAAACTAACACATTAAGCCACTTTCTGGCCCCAGTAGTTGTCTATTAACCTCATAATAGTGCATTCAGGTTTTATTCTAGTATTTTTGGTTAGCAGCAGATTTCTGCCAAGCTAAACATTTTCATTTCAATTTATAATAAGCAAGATAAGGAAGGAAAAAAGGTTACTTTCCTCTCACTAATTAATGCAAAATTTATTATTTCCTACAGTAAGCAACCAAATACACACATGGATACCCTTTAAATAGGTAGTTTACCAAAAGCAAATGTCTTTTTCTTCTTAAGCTATGTATTTAAATGTTAGTTCATAAGCAATTAGGCTTAATGATTAAGAAGAATAACCAGCATGGGAGAGTGCAGCTGTGCTGGGCATCACTAGTTCAAACTGAAGTCATGTAATAAAAATGAAATGACAATTTAAGTAGGCATATGTGGTGGATGATGCTGTTAGCATTTAAACCTGGGGCACTCTGACAAGAAGTAGAGCTTTCAGGAAGGATGGCATAGCATGTAAACTGTTGCATAGACTACACAGAAACCTAATGTGTGAAATGAATCTGTAAAAGAGAGGCTTCCACAAACCAAAGTTTTCTCTTTGAGTCTTCACTTTTGCGTGCACTTCAGCTCTCCATTCTACTTGGCCTCATATTAATACTGTTTTGACCCTTGGAAGAAAAAATCCCAACCATACAAAGTCAAGAACAAAATGGGACGGGGCAGAGGGGAAGTACAAATATGTGGGTTGGTTTTCTGATAGCGATGTTGCTGGGCATCAGTTAAGTAGTAATTGCCTGAGACATGTTCTTTTCAATAAAAATTTTACCTTCTTCTGTTAACTTCACCATTACAAGTTGTTGGGTTTTAACTGATAGATGTCTGTCATTACTATCTCTCTATTATTTGACTAAGATAAACCATAGAAAGTTCAAAGAAAACCTTTGTTTTATATGAGCCAAGTCTTAATTATTTTGGACATGCATTACATTTTTATAGTAAAACACTGAAATCCAGATCAGTATCAGGACCTCAGATACTTCAGAGACTGGGATATTGCTTAAAGTGAGGGAAAGTAGTTCCCTTGTTCTCGGGACTTTATAAGGTAACCTCAGGTAACAAGGTTTAATAATCACAATATCCTCATCAAAACAACCAAGGAAAAAGAAAAAACAGGTTTGTGCTGTAGATGTCAATAGCGAAATTATGTTGTTGTGTTCTTGACAGAGTTACATTGTGCTTCTTCAATTCTTGAATAGGCTGCACTTAACTAAACGCATGTGAATATCTTGGTAGGAGTCAGTATGAGAAGGTGCAGAGTGCTTGCAAACAGGAGTTGTGCTGCCTCAGAAGGCAAGCCTTTCCATTCCCTGAGGTGTCAGGCACGGGGACGGCTTCCCTGGCGCTGCTGACAGCTCTCCAAGTTCGATCACAGTGTCCAAGTGCCATCTCGTGGCCACTGGCGATAGGCTTGAGGAGACAGGTACTGTTGTGGGCTGACCCTGGCTGGCAGGTGCAAGGACAGCCTCCCTACCCAGTCACTCATTCACTCCCTCCAGCGGGATGAAGGAGAGAACCAGAAGGGCCGAAAGTAAGAAAACTTGTGGGTGTGAAGATAAAGATTGTTTAATAAGTGAAGGGGGGAAAAGCCCAAACCACAAACCTTACAAGTGATGCAAGAGCAATCACTGGCCACTAGTAGACTAATGCCTAGCCAGCCCCTGAGCAACTGCTCCTTTGGAAAAATCACCTGCCTAGTTTTGTTGCTGAGCATGGTATTATATGGAAGGGAATATCTCTTAGGCCAGTTTGAGTCAGCTCTGCTGGCCATGTCCACCCCCAGCCTACTTACTGGTGGGGCAGCATAAGAAACAGAAAAGGCCCTGACAGTGCGGAAGCTCTGCTTAGTAACAGCTAAAACGTGTGTTACCAAGGCCATTTCAGTCACCCATCTGAAATAAAGCACCGTATGGGCAGCTGTGAAGAAAATTAACTCCATCCCAGCCAAACCAGTACAGGTACCTACATAAAGTACTGCATTACTGAATACTGTTGATTTGGGGCAGTGAAAATAGTATGGTTAATAACTTAATAAAGTTTTACACATCTTCTGAAGCCATTATTTGTCTGACTTCAGTCAGTTTTTACAGCACACAGTGTGAGAGAATCAAACTAATCCCATTTGTAGGAAGACCTAAGAGTGAAGTATCTTCTAAGAGTGAAGTATCTTGCCACGTTTTTTCAGTAAGCTAAAGAAGTTGCCTTTTTTTTTTTTTTTTTTTTTAAATGAAGCTTTGAGGAGCTTCGTAATTTCCTAAATACAGTTTAACTCATTTCTTCCTGCAACCTCTTGAGTTCTGGTCCTACAAAGTCTATTGCTTTGGACTGCTTTCATGCCTGAAAAACAGTACCAAGTCTGGTTTGTGCTATTGTCCTTTACAGTGGCTAGACACTATGGTCCCACCTGCTTCTTCCCTGTCATTCTTGCAAGTGGCATGGAGCATCCATAGAGACACCTAGGAATATGCCTAAAGCAGACCTGTAGACACTTATTTTTCTACACTGGGTTGCTCCTATCTGATCATGTGAAGTAAAAGTAGAAGGAAAGACAAAATGGCATAGCACACAAATAAAGTCCCCTGACTATTTAAACTAATCTTAATTAACTATTTTCTGAATCAAGGAGCACCATTACATTAGTTCTTTGATATTTCCTACAATTGTACTTTAAAATAGATAAGTATTGCTCAGAGAAAGCAGTGAAAACGATGCCAAAACAGTAACAAGATTAAATAGCTTAAGTTAGAAGGCTTTCATAATATGGTCCGTCCACACCCATGAAGTTTATTTAACTTCAGTATTGCAGTCATAAAAAAATCGCCTAACACAGGAACTAGTTCTTGATAAAAAATACAAAATATTGCACAACTTGAAATAAAATAATGTAAGTTGGTGACATTGCCATTTTCTTCATTTAGTGAGAACATGAAATAGTTTTAATCACCTGCTTTGATACAGCATCTATAAATTCAAACACCTTATATAATGACATATATTACAGTTTTAAGTTAGGCGCGATGCAGTGTCTGAACTGAATCCTCTGTTGCTAGGTCAATAAAGTTCTCCGAAATCATAATATCAAGCCACACTGGATGTTTGCATTGGACAGCATAATCAGAAAAGCTGTGCAGACTGCTATAACTATTCTAGTCCCAGGTGAGTAATTTCTTAATACTCAGCAAATATTTACTAGCTGATCTCTTTAAACATAATTTAGAGTTGCAGTTATGATACTTCACTTAAGATTTTGAAACTAGCAGTAGCCTTTTCCCTGCTCACTGTCAGTTTTGCAACTTAAAAACTAATCAGTGTATTGTCCAAGTTATTTTGGAAAGCACCTTTCCGAGATGTGCAGTCTAAACAATTCTGCAACACAGTGAGCAGTAGTAGGCTAAGGTGCTCTGGAGCCTAATTTTTGACGTGCACAATGCTGCCCTTGTATTCTAAAGGACAGACCACTTGCCAGCATATGCTGATTGTGGAAGGTGTTTTTACAAAGTGTAGATTAATGATGTATTCCTTGGAGTACTTGAATGTCTCCCTGGCTCCTGGTCAGAAGCTGTCTAAAGAGAAAAAAAACAAACCAAAACAAACAAACCTGCAGTGCCTGGAATTTGAATATCGTATTTTGAATGTTGTGGAAGTAGAATGCACTGCTTAGCTGAGGGAATGATTCTGTGTGGAAGAAACTGTAGCCCATTCTGTTACTACCAGAGTTACTTTTCTCTGCTGCTGCTTAAGTTCTAAGCTTGTGATCCCCCTGTTCCCT